TGATGCCAGTCATGAGCCTGGATTATTAAGTCCACACCGGGAAGAAAATAGAGGGCAGTGCGCGTGCTCTGGGTTTCTCGTGTCCTTAAGCTGGTCGGGCTTTCGTGTTTGCCGGAGCGCGTTAGGATCCCATATATATAGCCACTTCTAATCGATATTAGATATTAATATATTTTCTAATTTTATATATTGAATAATGGAATTTTCGTATAGCCAAAACAAGATTTTTTGGGAATATTTTCAGAAATTACTATAATTCTAAATTAAAGATTTTATTTTGATAGAAATCTTATTTTTTAAACGAAAAATATTATCGAATTTGTATTTCTATTGATTAGAGAGAGAATAAATGACAACAGATATTATTTTCTTGTAAAATAAATTTATATACATCTAATTTAGTATGAAAAGATGAATAAATTCGTTAATTATTATAATGTCGAATATTCGATGCTTTGAATTTTTATTTGGAAAGATTAAAAGATAGTGTAAGAAGGATTCTGTATGTAAGGATTCTGTATATGGGTATCTTAAAGGAGTGTTTCTGGAATTGAATATCTATATGGTGGCGAGCTGATTCTTTAATATTAAGATATTTTTGTATTTTCGTGAAATTTGTATTTATATGGGTTAGAGCTCGCGAAAGAATTAGAAATTGCGTATTATTCGATTAAGTAATACACGGGCGTTACGCATTAATATTAATTTATTTTCGAAGCTAAAAATTATTAAGAAATAGAAAATAAAATATTTATATTTACTATATTTTGGCAAGATGTTATTTGGACAAGAATATTTCGATATGCTCTTATTTTAATATAGGTTTGGAAATTTATATTTGGATCGTAGATATATGAGATTTCGTTTTATATACGATGATCGAATATCGGAGAACCCGCCTTCGTTTGCAGAAAACGTGATCTATCTAAACGTTAATTTTTGATTTTCAGAATAGAAAGGAAAAGAATAAATTTGATGATATTTGGAAGGACGTATTATTTTGTCCCTTTAAAGATATTATTGCTCCCGGTCGTGATTTCTTTGCCTTCGTTTTTATCGGAGCATTAGTTTATGGAAGGGTCGAGTCATATTTTCGCCGCGGCCTAAAGAGAAACCAATACCTTTAAATTATCATAATTATTATGAAGATTTTGAAGTTTTTTAGTTTCAATATTTCTACTAATATTATTATTATTCTATTATTTCCATTACTGATGATACTACTATAATCTAACAATACGAAATATATCCCGAATTATATCGTCCAATATATCTACGAATCATATTCTCGTCTTAATATTCTTAGAAAGATTAGTTCTCATAAATTCAAGCTAATTTCTAATTAAAATATGAAATAATTAATCGAAATTATATCATAATAAATCAAAAATATATACTAAATAAATAAATTATTATATATGATATTTCCAAGAATCGGATTAATAAATGAAATTAAACTATGAATTCGATTAATAGAATAGTAATATTTAACAAAGCCCGAATCCAAATGATTCCATATTTCATCAAGTCGATATTTTTCGTCGATATTCTTATCGATGAATAAAAAGATATGAAACGATATAATTCATTATTCATTTTTAATAATTCTATAAAATCCTGCGCGTTTCTTCTGATATCGATTGTCGGTACGGCATTATGAAAATCTCGAATCAAAAATATGCTTACGGTCTAAAGAAGAATTTTTTCCGCACAATATAGAGCTTATCAAGATTTTTTTATTTTATATTAAACGTATTATCTGAATTGAAAATCAAAAAACATTGGAGATTTCGTATTTTCGTATCGTACGAAATTTTGGAAATCCGACAAGAATTTAATTTCTTGAGGCAATATATCTACATCCTTTTCATAATAATAATTCGTATTATCGAACGAATCGATATAAAAGATACGATTTCGTATCGTACGAAATTCCTGGAAATTTAATATTTCGTACCGCGAGATTTTCAGTCGATTTTTTTTTCATTCTAGTTTCCCTTACGCATTTTCCATAAATATTAATTTTTGAATTATTAGATATTGAGAAAAAGGTCTCTTTTTCTAATATCTTGAATATATCTCGAATTGCTATATAGATCGATTAGATATGTCAGCTACAGCTTGGGATATGGAAACAGAAATTGCGGGCGAGAACATTCCTATCATGGAGAATAAAAGAAAGAAGGAATGAGTGAGGGCATATCGAGCGATCTACAATTAAAATGAAAAGGCAGAGTAGCGGAGGAAGAGATATCGTCTAAAAACGAAAGACGATATTTATTTCGTAAAAATATAACGAAAGAACGAGTGCGGGCGTCAATATCGTGGGAAATATCACGACATAATAGGCAAAAATAGACCTGTCGTATATATATGAAAAAATTATCAAATCATATGAAATTAAATCTATAATTTATCTAATAATATTCTAGAAAATATATCTTTTTCCAATCTATAAATACTATCGCTCAAAACACGACAGAAATTTGCCGTCTTCCTCAAAAATAAAATCCATATTCTTCATATATTCGCTTATAACATCGAATCATATTTAGAAGAAATCGAGAAATAAGAACAAATAATCAATAAATTTTAATTAATTACCTTTATAAAAAAATCGATTCTAAACTTTAAAAAATACAGAAATTCCATATTTATTATATATTAGAAAAAATCAATATAATTTTAATAATTCCTTTTAATAATTACTATCATTTAATAATAATTTAATTTAAATCATACGCATATAATAAGATCAAATTATAGATTTTCTATATATAATATATAACTTATATAGGTTTAACCAAAATAAAATACTTTCAAGACTATATATAATATTCTTATTAAAAAAATAAATCGAAATTATCTTATAAAATAATTTCTAAGAAAATATTTCCAAAAAATATCAAATTAATAGATATTTTAATATAAATCGATTTTCAAATAATTAATTAATATATTAATACATACGATTCAAAAAATCACCGAATTTATGCAAAAAAATCCATATTACAATAATAATAACAAATCCAATTTTTCTCGAAATAGCCCACTTATTCTTTATTTCCCAATTATATAAGATAGATAAATAGAATATCAAATTATAATTTAATAATTTCAAACCATATGTCCAAGTTTTAGATATTTAAATGAACTCATATAAACTAATATAATAGAATTAAAAATCGAATTCATAAAATATTATAGAATCTTCAAACTTCAATACATTGTGAGGATTCTGAAAATCAAATCATTAATATTTCATCAATCTCATAATTGAATCATCTTCACCCCAGTCGAATTTAATCAATATATTGTATAACGATTATCTTCAAGTAATATTTTTCCGATTTAGATTTCCTATTCCTGTATCATTTCAAGAATTTCTAGCATATATATATATATG